CGTGTGTCCCTTTCACATGGATGTTTCTCTCTCCCTCTCCCTCCCTCCCACTCTATCTGAACAAAAAATGGAAAAATGTCCTCGGGTGAGGATTTAAAAAAAAAAGAAAGAACCAAGGAGAGTGGTTACTAAAGTGAGCAGAGGCAGTGAGACCACAGAGACCCCAGAAGCCCATGGCTGTTTGAGATGATCAGGGCAGGGAAGGCTGGAAACAGGTAGCATGGAAGAAGCTCTAGGAACCGCAGCTGAAGGGGACGTGGAACCCACCTCACCTGTCAGTCCCACTCACCCTTGTTCACAACACTGGTGGGTCACAGGCATGGCCCAGCGCTTGGCTCTCAGCAATAAGTAGTTATAACACTAGTCTCAGGATCATGGAGTGGCCTGGAGTCTCTGCTCTTTAGCTCCCAGCTAGGCAGGGCCATGTGATGACTGAAGTCTGGGCACTTGTGCACCTCAACCCCAATTCCTGTGACTCAGTGGTCCCCTGGGGTAGGAAACCAAAACAGTCTGGGAGAGCTGTCCCTCTAGGGCCTGTTTCCTTTTCTGTAAAGGACAACAGTACTTGACACATTTGCAGGGAATCATTACAATAACCCTCCTCTGAAGGACAGTTACTCCTGCTTCTAGGATAAGGGTAGGTGACTTGCCAGGGCCACACTAATAGGCCAGCTCCTGAGTCATCTTAGTACCGCATGAGAGAATGAAAAGCGGGTGTACGGGGCCTGGCAGACGGGCGCGCCACACGAAGTGAGTACTTGCAAGGAGGCTGGCCAGGTGGACCAGGGACTTACCCAAGCCAGTCTAGGGACAGTAACCCCATGTCCACAGAGGGGGTGATGCACATTCTAGGTTAGGAACATCTGCATGGGGTCTCAGTCCTGCCCTTCCCCCCAATATCACTGGGGCCCAGAGTGCAGTCAAGTGGCAATGGGTCCTTTCACTCTCCTGCCCCTTGGGTATATGGGGCAGACAGTTGTGGCTTAAACACATGATAAACTCTGCCTATGGGCCTTTGGGTCCAGCCTCAGCAATATGGTTTCAGCAGTCCCTCCACCGCCTGGGTGTCCCTGTCTCTCAGCCTGGGCCCAGGGTGCAGTATGGCTTGGTCGTGGTAGGAGAGGGGGGTCAGATCCGGGGTCTTAGTGTGTGTACTCGGTTTTCCAGGCTGTAAAATAGTGGGAATTTGCGCCCTGGCCGGTTTGGCTCAGCGGTTAGAGCATTCCACCTGCGGTCCAGAGAGACCCGGGTTCGGTTCCCGCTAAGCATGTACCTTGGTTGCAGTTTGTCCCCGGCCCTGGTTGGTCGTGTGGGTGGCAGCCACTTGATGTGTCCCTTTCACATTGATGTTTCCCTCTCTCTCTCTCATTCTCTCTCTCCCTGCCACTCTATCTGTACAAAAAATGGAAAAATGTCCTCGGGTGAGAATGAAAAAAAAAAAATAGTGGGAATTTGCTGCCACTCACAGAAATGTGTATGTGGCGAGGCCCTTGCCTCAGCTGTGGAGAGGAGTCTTCACTGCCTGAGAAGGGTCCTGAGCCTCCCTCGCACCCCACCCAGCTTCCACAGCACGGCACCTGTACCTCCGTGGTGGCGCTGGGGTTGGCTCCATGACCAAGATCTATGGAGGACGGCAGAGAAATGGTGTCATGCCCAGCCACTTTAGCAGAGGCTCCAAGAGTGTGGCCCGCCGGGTCCTCCAAGCCCTGGAGGGGCTGAAAATGGTGGAAAAGGACCAGGATGGGTAAGCAAGGAAGGGAAAGGGGGGTGATGGAGGAACCTTGGGGCCAAGTCACTTATAATGAAGTTAGCGAGGGCCGTCCCCCTCTCCCCTCACAGAGAGGTGCCAGGTCTGCCCCTGCACTATCTGCCCCTGACCCTCAGGTGGGCAGGAAATTCTGCAGAAAAGAAAACAGCTAAGGGCCTCACCCCGACCTCTCTAGCTGACTACCCTGGGCTCAAGGAAGGTAATTTAGCGACTGTCCGCTTTCATTAGCCTGCTCGTTAACTTTGCCCAATTGATTTTTCGGAGCTTTTGATCTAATGCTTGCACAAACGACACCCTGTCAGCTCCCAGTGGGGCTCCCACTCCCGCCCCAACCTCGTTAGAATGCAGCCCACTGGAGCTCTCGGTGGGACTTGGCTGGCAGCATGTGGTCCTGTGGCCAGCTGCCTTTTGGGGAAGCCTGACTCACATCCGGGAGGGGGTTTGAGAATCTGCACTCGCCTGTGGCTACATGACCCTTCTGTCCTCCAGGGGCCGCAAACTGACACCTCAGGGACAGAGAGATCTGGACAGAATCGCAGGACAGGTGAGGCCTGGGTGCATGCTAGGGCTGGGTCCTTCTGTCACTGCCTGAGCTTTGTCGGATCAGAATTTCCTTCCCTGGGAGCAGGCAGCAGACTGACTTCTTGCCAGAGCTGGGGTTATGGGAACCCGGGCCGTGGTGCAGCTGGGCTGCTTTTCCTGCAGGGCATTGGCCTTGCACAGATTCTGGCTTCAGTGTTTCGTCCTTACTCTTCATGCTGGCTGAGCATCGGGTCGAGGGGAGGCGGGCTGGCTCAGAACTCAGGTCTCCATCCCAATGACTGACTGGTTGGACACCCTTGGGTCAGGCGGTGCAGCTGGAGCCCGTCTCCCTGTCGCTGGAGCGATTTGCTCCCGCCTGCCTCAGAGTGGTGGTTAGGGTTCAGTGAGCTGCAAGCAGTGGGAGCCCACCAGGGCCTGGCATGAACCCATTGCTGGTTTCCTTTCTGTGTCATTGACCCGGGCCTCCTAGGAGCCTTGGAGTGTTTAGTCACTTAGTCAGGTGTCAGAAAGGAATGGAAAGTGTCGCCCTCTGAGAGTCCAGTGGCCTGAAAGAAGGTGAACTTTTCCAGAGCAGGGCCTGGCACAGACACCAGTGTGTATGACGGGGCATCGGCAGTATTGGAATCCCACTCTTCCCTGAGTCCCAGTTGACACTTCTGTTAAAATGGAGGGAATACCTGGGATTGTGAGAATTAGACAAGATGAATACATGTGAGACTACAAATCAGGGTGCCTGGTGTCGTCTGGGCGGTGGGTAGCTATTACAAAGTGCCGGAACACGGACCCCATGGCTGATCTTAACTCACTCACTCTTCCATCTTTCCCATAGGTGGCAGCTGCCAACAAGAAGCATTAGAACAAATGCTGGGTTAATAAATTGCCTCATTCGTAATCCTGGTCTGGGTCTCTTGATTGTCTGCTCCTCTTCCATTTGGGGACATAGGAAGAAGGAGCCGGGGTCCCTGGGTTGCTGTGACTGCAATTCGCAGAAAAGGAGAAGCTGAAAGAGGCTGTTCAAGCAGTGGCCCCTGCTGGAACACAACAGGAGGGGCGTTGGGGCCCACGTTTTCTTGGGACAGAGCCCTGACTCCCTGTGGCCCCTTGAGCCCACTCCAGCTCAGGTGTCTGGTACGCACCTCCTTTCCCTGGCCTACGTGGGCAGGATGGTCTTGCCTGAGCCTTCACTTCTGCATTGTGGCTTTGGGTGCTGCTGTGAAATGGAGCTAGGTGTGCCTGGCCCGGGACTGTGATGGGTGCTAAAGAGGCACAAGCAGGTTGGGACCTGACTGCCACACCCTGGGGGGGGCGGGGGCAGTAATGCCAAAGTGCCTGCAGAGGCCAAGTACGGGGTCCCTTCGCTTGGTGCAAGGTCCTCGGTGCCAAAGGGGCAAGATCTCTGCCTGTGATTGGGCCCCTGGCACTTTTGGCAGAACCAGTGGATGCCCAGTGGGCATGTGCCAAGCCATAGGGACAAGGGCTCCTTACTGCCCCCATGTGACCAGACCCACCCTCGACTGGGGAGAGCTAATGCTGAGCTGGCATGCGGGAGGCCCCTGAGGTTCCCCCAATCCAGGTTACTCAGATCACACGCCTTGCCTTCTAGTGCCAAGCCTGGACTCTGGTTCCCAAACAACTTTGGTTCGAATTCCAACTCTGCCCCTAATTCTGTGCAACCCCAAGGACTTATTCCTGCTCTAAGCCTTCCTCGTGTGGCGCTGCCTACTGAGGGATTCTGGAGGTACCCGGTGTAGATAGATGGTGCCTGGGCTCAGCACACCGGCAGACAGCCAATTGGTGTTCCCAATTTAAGACCAAGATGTCCAAAGAATATCAAACCAGAATCTACCCGTTGAGGAATGAAGCTGTCATCCCTCCCAGCTCAGGTGTCTGTACTGGAATCTACTGAAGAAACACTTCCAGCCTGCCACGTGCAAGGCGCTTTATAAATAATGTATCTTACTCTGCAACCCTGCAAGGTAGGTGCCAAAAAGCACCTGCAGTGTAGAGAAGGGGAAAGTAAGTCACAAGTTGGGTGATTTGTCAGATGTCCCATAGCTAGGCCAGCATCTGGATCCAGACTCAGGCTCTATCTACTAGGGTGCACTGCCCCCTCGAAAGTGAAGGATATGGGAAAATGAGGTCCAAAGTTACTCCTCGTTCTGGCCCCAGCGCCCTCTCTGCCGACTGAGATTGAAGACATTTCCCAGATTTGTCATGAGAATGAAATGCCAAACATCTGGTTCCCATGCATAACACCAGACACCCCGGTGCTAGGTGAGTGGGGGGGTGGAGTCGCCCAGACAGGCCTAAGAGGGCCTGCAATCCCGCGGCCGCGCCTCTCTGCCGCTGGGGGGCAGTCGAGGGCTTTGAAACCGGCTCGGCTGCAGCCTGTGGTTCCAGGCTACTTTAGGAGGGGGTCATAAGGAGGAACTGAAACACAGAGGGGTTGATGACCTGCTATATACATCAGGGTCCCAACAGAACACCTGGATGCATAGAGGAACAAGGAGAAGGCCTCCAGGCCAGAGAAGAGGAACTCACCCTAGAAACTGCTAAGCACACTAATATTCTCACAGCCTCACAGGGAGAGGGGAGGGTGTGACCAGATTACAGGAGAAGAAACTGAGGCTCAGAGGACCAGTCAGTCGACAGAGCTAAGATTCAAACCCAGGAATGGTGACTTTTTTTAAAAAATATGGAACACCACAAATTTTCATTCCATCCTTGCACAGGGCCCATGCTAATCTCTGTATTGTTCCAATTTTAGTATGTGTGCTGGTGAAGCGAGCATGGAATGGTGACTTGATATTTATTTTTAATCTTCACCCGGGGATATTTTTCCATTTATAGAGAGGAAGAGAGAGAGAAAGATCGATGTGAGAGAGGCACATCAACTGGCTGCCTCCCGCACAGCCCCGACCAGGGCCAGGAACCATACTGCAACCGAGGTATGTGCCCTTGACCAGAATCGAACCTGCGACTCTTTGGTCCATGCACTGACACCACTGAGCCAAATCGGCCAGGGCAACAGTTCCTTTTTTTAAATTATAAAATACTTCAAGCAAACAAACACTATACATGATAGTGAAACACACTCATGAGCCCACCACCCAACTTAAGAAATAAAATAAAACAAGGCATAAAACAGAGACGGACAAAGCCCTCTGTGTACCCTTCCCAGTCACAACCTCCTGGCTTCCCGCAAAAGTAACCCCTCCCCGGAATGGGTGTCACTCCCCTGCACAGGGCTGCACTTTCACCGCAGGTGCACACGTCCCTAGCAGCACACAGCAATGTTTTGCCTTTCGAAAACAAGTCAACTGTATCATGCTACTGTGTCTTCTCATTTTCATGTTTTTTTCTCAGATGCAGCCCTGTTGGCATGTGAGCGTCTGCCTTTTCTCCTGCTGTGTACTACTCTATTTTTTTTTTTATCCTCACCCGAGGACATTTTTTTTTTATATTTTGTTCAGATAGAGTGGGAGGGAGAGAGAGAGAGAAACATCGACGTGAAAGGGACACATCGAGTGGTCGCCACCCACACGACCCAACCAGGGCCGGGGACAAACTGCAACCGAAGTACATGCCCTTAGCGGGAACCGAACCCGGGTCTCTCTGGACCGCAGGCTGACGCTCTAACCGCTGAGCCAAACCGGCCAGGGCTGTACTACTCTATTCACTGTACCAAAATGTATGCATCCATTCGCTTGTGCATGGGCTTTTCATTTGTATCCCAGTTTTTGCTGCCAAAAATCTCCCTGCAATGTTTTACTATGTGTCTCCGTGTGTGTGTGTGCATGTGTGTGTGTGTCAGTGATGGTCCCTCAAGTGTAACCCCTCAGACCTCACTGCCCTCCCCTTTGAACTACAATGATGTTCAAAGGAGCCCTGGCCAGTTTGGCTCAGCAGTTAGAGCATCGGCCCATGGACTGAAGAGTCTCAGGTTGGATTCTGGTCAAGGGCACGTACCTCGGTTGCAGTTCATCCTGGGTCCTGGTCGGGTCGTGCGGGAGGCAACCGTGGCTCTATCGACGTGGCTCTATCACATCGATGTGTCTCTCTGTCTCTCTTTCTCCCCCTCCCTCCCACTCTATCTGATGATAAATGGAAAAATATCCTCAGGTGAGGGATAATAAATAAATAAATAATAAATAAAAATGATGTTCAGAGGAACCTGGGCACATATAGTGACTTAGAATCCCTGCTCCACCACCAGACTATATAATACCAGACAAGTGACAGTGACAGAGTCCCTCTCAGGCCTCAGTTTCCTCTTCTGTAAAAGGGGAAAGGGGAGCTTGCCTACTTGTGGGAGGCTAAAATGAAAAAAGGCCAAGAAAGAGCCCATAGTGGCTATTAACTCCTTGGGTACCGGGATATCATCTCAGGTCACAGCACCAGGGAGATATTCTTATCCTCATCTCTTAGATTTAAAATGCCAAGGCTTGCCCTGGCCGGTGTGGCTCAATGAATGGAGTATCAGCCTGCACACTGAAGGGTCTTGGGTTCAATTCCCAGTCAAAGGCATGTACCTGGGTTGTGGGTTCAATCCCCAGCCCTAGCCCCAGTCAGGGTCGTGTGGGAGGCAACCAATTGATGTGTCTCTCACACTGATGTTTCTCTCTGTTTCTGTCTCTGTCTCTCTCTTTCTCCCCCTCCCTTCTTTCCACTCTCTCTAAAAATAAATGGAAAAAATATCCTTGGATGAGGAATAACAAAAAAATAAAAATAAATGCCAAGGCTTGGAAAGGGAAGCCACCACTTAGTCACAGAACCAGCTGGCCTGCCTCGTTTATTCCTCGTGAGCATTAATAGTAACCAACATTTACTGAGCACCTACTATGCCCACGTGGCGGGCGCTGCGTTCAGTGGTGTGCACGAGCAACACCTTTAACCCCTCATTTCCAACCCCACAAAGTGAGGACAAAGAGGTTCAGACAAGACACAGGTTTTCCTAAGACCGGTAAGAACAGACTAAGAAAGCTCAGAATCACTGTCCTGGTTGTTTGCTCACAGCAGGCACCCAATGAAGAGCCAGGCCTTGAACTGGCCTTGTCCCCCACCCAAGCACCTCCTCTCAGGGGAATTGTGGCCACCACAGGTGCAGGGAGTAGTTCCTCTCTGCTCACGTCTGAAGCAGGAGCTGCTCCTGGCCTGACAGCCAGCTGAAGGGCCCAGCAGTGGGGCCAGTGGAGCCGATCTCCGTGGGGGCTGGGCAGGAAGTGGGGTGGAGTCTGGGACCTGCCAGCGGAGGTGGGATCTGGTACCCCAAGACTGCCACAACCCAGACGAACCAACCCACTGGGAGAACATGCCTGGGGGTCCCAGAGTCCTGCGAGCCCCACCTGGCACACTCTTCCTCCTCATGATCTCTGCTGCTGGCCTGGGTACGTGGCTGACACGCGGGTACTCGGGAGAGGAGTGGGGGCTGGGGAGGCTGAAGAGGGCACAGGCAGAGAGTAGGGCTACAGGAAGGGAGGCAGAGAGGAGTCAGAAGGAGGGGGGCTGGGAAAAGCCTCTGTGGAAACTGCATCTGTCTGCTTGACTGTCCCAAATAGGCCTAGGGGAGGCTGGAGAGGGCTCAGCAATGTTGAAGGGGCATCCACCGCCCCATGGAGGGAAGCAGGGGTCAGAAGTGCCTTCTCCACCCTGCCTCACAGGTCAAAATGAGGAACTAAGGCTGCCCTTGAGCAGGGCAGAGGGGACCTCCCGGAACACTCCGCTTCGGAGGGAAGAAAATGCTTTCCCTCTCTCTGCCTTGAATCCCAGTCACACCCCTACACAGGGGGCCCCTTCTCAGTGCTGGGGAAGGGGTACCTCATGACACCACCCTCCCCACCCTCAGCAATGCCAGCTGGCAGGGCCTCGACCTGCCTGTCTGACTCAGGAGTTCAGAGAGGCAGCTGATCACACAAGGTTACACTGGAGCCAGGCACGGAGCCTGTGACTCTGAGGTTGCTGCCTCTTTCCCCACTTCTTCCTCCTTGTCTCTTCCTTGCCTCCTCCTCCCCGCTCCAGAAGGGGCAGAGCGGCCATGTGGACTGGCCTGGGGCGCTGAAAGTTGGGGCTTCCCAAGCAGCCAGGCTGGGCCACTCAGCTTCCTCTCACTAACCCCCTCTGAGACACTCCCCTAATCCCCAGCCCAAGGACTAAACTCAACCCCTGACCCCCAGGTTGACAGGTGCAGGTCACAGAGAATGAGGGTAGGCTCAGAGACACTGGACAAGGCAGATCCAAGCTGGCAGGAGGAAGCCCAGGGGGCCTGGGGTTTGAATTCCCTGCCACTCCTGCTGCCCCAGGCTTCTGCTTGTCCCACCTGAAAAATGGCATAATCAGCCCTGACCGGTTTGGCTCAGCAGTTAGATCGTGGGTCCGCAGACCAGAGAGTCCTGGGTTCGGTTCCTGCGAAGGGCACGTATCTCGGTTGCAGTTTGTCCCCGGCCTTGGTTGGGGTCCTGTGGGTGGCGACCACTCGATGTGTCTCTCTCACATCAATGTTTCTCTCTCTCTCTCTTCCTCCCTCTCTTTCTTCCACTCTATCTGGAGATAAATGCAAAAATCTCCTCCGGTGAGGATAAAAAAATAAAAATTTAAAAATTTAAATGGCATAATGAGAGAACCTTCTTCCCTGGGGTTTGTGAAAATTACATAAGATAAAGTGTCAGGTGCAGGGCTGGGCGGAGCTGGGAAAGTAGACCAGGGGGACCTTCAGGAAGAGGTGATATCCAAACTGATTCTGCAAGTTGCTGCCTGGGCAGGAGCACTCTGACACCAGGAAACCAAGTATCCAAATGCAAGAGACGGCATGGGGGGAGCAGGAGTGTGTCACCACCCCAGGTGTCTTACTCTCCTCCCCCAGGATATCCTCAACCCACCCCCCCAAGCTGTGTCCTCTCTCTTGGCAGGGGTGTGTCTCTCTCCTCCTCTAGGTACCCCTCCCCTACCTGTCCCAACACTGTGTGTCCTCTGTCCCCCACACACCCAGGAATGCTGCAGCTGCAGGGCTGGCCGGAGCCTGTGTCCCCATCCGCAGTCCCTGACTTATCGGCCTCTTTGCAGGGCCAGGGGGCCAGACCCTGTGGGTGGACTCGGGCCCGCCGTCAGTGACAGTGTTCGTGGGGGAGGAGGCCCGCCTCCCCTGCGTGCACAAGAGCAGCCTCCCCCAAAGCAGACCTAATGTCACGTGGTGGCGGATCCTTGAAGGGAACTTCACGTGGCCCCCTCAGCACTACAACTTGGGCGAGGTCAATATGGGTGAGCTGACCATCCCATCGGTGAACAAGAGCCACAGAGGCCTATACAGGTGCCATGTTCAGGAAAACGAAACGGAAATGCGCTCCTGTGGCACCTACCTCCGTGTGCGTGGTGAGTGCGGTCCCACGGCGGCAGCTGGGGACTGCTGGCCTCCTGTCTGGGAAGCGGGGGCAGAGCCAGAGCCTGCATCACGGCATCCTTACTTCCCGCTCCCACACGTAACCCTTTCTCATCTGCACGTGGGGGCTTTCAGTGGGGCCTTGCTGGGGGCGGGGCCTTGCTGGGGGCGGGGCCAGCCGCCAGGGCTCTGAGCAGCGCCCCGTCCTCACAGAGCCTACCCCCAGACCCTTCCTGGACATGGCGGAGGGCACCAAGAACAACATCATCACAGCTGAGGGGATCATCCTGCTGTTCTGCGCTGTGGTGCCAGGGACACTGCTGCTGTTCAGGGTGAGCCACTTGGGACCAGGCCCCCGAGTCGAAGGGTCCCCACCCAACACTTGGGAGAATGATAGCACCCACCCCACAGGGGCCATGGGGGTGGGGGAGTGTGAACAAATTAACACAATGACAGGGATTTACACGGTGCTGGGGGCGGTGTCCTTGCTCAGTCTCCCCTCAAGGCTGTCCTCATTGCCCATCTCTAGGGATGTTCTCACTCTATACCTCCCCCTCAAAGGTACTTTACTCTCCCCTGACCCAGGAATGCTGTGCCCTCCAGATGTAGCCAAGGCCAGGGCAGATGGGGGCTGGGGTCCTCCCAGTCTCTGACCTGCAGTCCCTTTAGGCCACAGGGCAACTATAGCAATTTACTATTGATGTTATTATTCATGGAGAACAACTAGGCAGTAGAGACAGCCAAAAGCGGCTTGGACCCAGAGAGACTTGCTATTTACCCAATATGTGGCTTTCAGCAACATCCCTTAGTTTTGGTAAAGCACCTCCTGACATCTAGGAGGGTCTGAAAACATACCCCTCCTTCCTCCCCCCCAGAAACGGTGGCAGAATGTGAAGTTCGGGGTGGACCCCAGAGATGACTATGAAGATGAAAATCTTTATGAGGTGAGTGGAAGGTGGGGACAGATTAGGAGCAAGTATGTCCGGGGGGGTCCTCATGGGCTAGGCTGGGGGCAGGGCCCTAGGTATCAGGACCCTGAGGCCCACCACCACGTTTGCACCCACCCCAGGGCCTGAACCTTGATGACTGCTCCATGTACGAGGACATCTCCCGGGGCCTCCAGGGCACCTACCAGGACGTGGGCAGCCTCCACATCGGAGACGTCCAGCTGGAGAAGCCATGACTGTGACCAGCCAGCTAGGCTGCCCCTCCCTGCTGTGCTCCCGGCTCCAGTGTCTCCCTTTCTCCCTGGCACCAGCTCTTTTCACAATCATTCCTGGGAGTGTCCTGCATCAACTTCCCCCTTGGGAGTGTCCATGCTTCCTCCGTCTAGACTGCCCTCATCCCTTCCACACACCCTAACTCAGTCCTCTCTCTGCTGCCCTTCCAGGCTCCCACCCACTCACCCACCCAGCTGGTAATGAGCCCTTAATCACTGCCTCTAGGGGACTGATTGTAGCAGCCTCAGTGTCACCTCCCCCCTCCCTGCTCTGTCATGGCCACTTAGCAATAATAAATGCTTCCCAACTACAGACCTTGGCAGCAGTCATGGATCTCATGGGGACCACCCACCCTCCTCCCCTGGGACCCAGGAGTCCAGGCCTCCAGTTCCCTCCAGATCCAGGAGTCTGCCCCCCCCACACACACACACACACCCCGCTGCCCACACTCAGTACCTGGGACCGGGTAGCCAATCTTAGCTGCCCCCCTGGGAGAAACAGCAAGTGTCTTGGGGAGGGATCTGCCCCAGGCCATGTCTTCCCTGAGCAGGGTGGGGGACACAGAACACAGGAGGGAATCGAGGTGATCATATTTATTTAGGCACATTTAAGTCTCAGAATTACAGGGGACTGTCTGGTGAGGCTAGCACCGAATCCTTCTATGGCCCCACCTGTTCTCTGGGAGCAGACTTGTGGCAGGGGATGTGGAGAGTCTGTGGTCCTAACCTGGGGAAGGGGCAGAGACAGAGGCGCAATGACAGAGAGGCACCGATATGCCGCGTTTCTGAAATAGAGAGGGGAGAAAGACAGACACAGAGAGATAGTGACAGACACAGAGCAAGTGAAGGGACAAAGAAGTACAGGGAATCAGAGACACACAGCAGAAAGAGATAGAAAGATCCACAGAACAACGGACACAGAGAGGAAGCAACAGGTGGGAAATGGCTGCATGGCTAAGCAGAGACCAGAGGTGGGAAGAGAAGGGCTCCAGGGAGAGAGTGAGAGAGAGGAGCGGGGACGGGCGGGGAGCCCCCGGCGGAGAAATGGGGAGAGAGACAGAGAGACAGAGACAGGGAGGGGGACTCGGATAGAAACAGAGAGGCAGAGAAAGAGAGGAAGACGGAAAGGGGGAGGCTGCCAGCCTGAGGCCGACGCAGTCGCCCCCAGCCCGCCGGGAGGTGACGGCAGACACCGGCAGAGGTGAGAGCGTGGAGCCCGCGCCCCGCAGACCCACGACCGGCCCCGCGGCGAGCGATCGGCGGGGGCGGGGCGGGGCCGGTGCCCGCGGGGGCCGGACGGGCAGCGAGAAGGGGAAGGAAGCGGAGGTGCCGGGCGGGCGCGGGGCGCGGGCAGGAAGCGGGGAGGGGCGGCGGGGCGGGGGCCTCCGGAAAAACGCCCCAACTTCCTGCCCCGCCAGAGCCAGGAAGCGGGAGCCGGGACGCAGGGCCGGGATCGCCGAGCCCGACCTCGGGCGCCCCGCCGGTCACCTCCCCGCGCGGACACCAGGTACACGGTCCGCGGCCCCGCCCGGCTCCTCCCCTCGGCGGCTCGGGGACGTGGGAGGAGGATGGAGGGGCTGGGGCGCGGCCGGCAGTGGGGGGGGCCTCCTCGGGCCCCCTGAGCCAGCGGCCGCCCCTCCCTGGGCCTCAGTTTTCCCATCTGTCAAAGGGGCAAAGAGAGGAGAACTGGTACCTGCCGGGTGACAGTAGATGGGGGTGAGGCGAGCGAGGCCGGGGTCACAGCCTCCCACTGCCCAGCGGAGGAGGAATGATCACTCCCACTGTACGGGTGGGGAAACTGAGGCCAGAGAGCAGAACCGGCTCGCCGCAGGGCGCACACGTGATTCCCAGTGGAGTTGGGATTTGAATTCGGAAGTGCCGTCCGCTGAGCGCCGTCCTCCAACCCCGCTGGCTTTAGGACCCCCTAAAAAGAAAAACGAGTTAGCGACGTTGTAGGCCGCTCTGAAGCTGAAGGTTGCAGAGCGCGTTTGAAAGCGTTTTTGGAAATCTCTTTTTCTGGGCTATTAATTATACCCCCAGGGCTGGGTTGTGGGGGACAGAGCTGGCGATATTATCCCATTGTATAGATAGGAAGACTGAGGCCCGGAAAGAAGTAATTGCTTATTCCAGGTTACAGTGCATGTCAGTGGGAAAGGTACGTTCGAACCCAGGATTTTTGCTTCCGAGCCAAGGGGAAGGTGTGCTGGGGTGGGGTTTGGGGTGGGGGTGCGGGGAGAATTCATGTACGAGCATTGGGAATTCAACTGATCCCCGAGTTAGGGAGCCAAAATAGGGTGGGGGGCCCTGTCCCGGAACTAAGGAGCCAGGGTGACCGAGATCTCAGATTGAGCCCTGGCTGTGGGGCTAGAACCCTCTGCACCTCCGGCCGGAGAATGGGCGGGGGGAACTGGGGGCGGGGCCCAGGGAGTGACGGGAGCAGTCGAGATACGGAAACGCGTGTCCTCCAAGGCAGGCCAGAGCGGCCCCATCTGGCCAGCGTGGCTCAGTGGGGAGCTAGAGCGGCCGGCAGGAGGCATAGAGTCATCTGGCAGGAGAGGGCTAGAGCGGCTGGCGGGAGGAGTGGAGCTAGAATTAAAGGTGGCTGCTGTGGCGGCTAGAGCGACTAGGAAGGGGTGGGGGGGACCCCGGAGCCGACGCGCGGAGGCTTGGGTCCTGGTGGCTGCGGTGACTTCTCCAACACGGAGCAGGTGAGGGACGCGGCCCCCGGCGGTCGTCACACCCTGATTTGGGACGTCCTCCCCAGCATCCCTGGCAGTGCACACCGCCACGTTCCCTGTAGGATTTGGGGCCCGTGTAGACCAGCCATGTCCCATGTAGGTTTGGGGGCTCTTGTAGACCCGCCACGTTCCATGTAGATAACAGGGTTCTACAGACTCCCCAGGTTTCTTCTAGCCCCTGTGGAGACCCATTCCTTACATTCATGGGATCCCCATCGATCAGTAGCATCCCCTAGAATCCAGGGCTCTGTAGATCCTGGGTCTAGGAACCACCACAGGCCCCTATACAGTTCTGGTCCCTTTTTAAGTCTCCAGAGGTCCCATAGACTGGCTACTTTCTCTGGTTTCATGATCATGTGTGACCCTCAGATCCCTGTAGACCCACCATGTGTGAAATGGAATCTGGGCCCCTATGGACTCACCTTGACTACTGTGTATCTGAGGTTCTTTAAGGCTCCCAGAAGCTCATAAAGACCAGGATTATCCATTCAATATTTTATAGACCCTGAGCCCTGCATAGAACCCAGGTGCCCATGCTGTCCCCCACAAGTGTCCACTTTGCTCTAGGATCCCCACCCTAAATCTGCCCTGATGCCTGCCCACCCCCTACCCCCACCATTCACATAGCACGCCCTCTGCTGGACCTCAGACCTTGTCATTTGCCTAAAGATCCATCTGACAGCTTCAACCTTTGTGGCAGCCCCTCGCCCCCGCCCCCCATCCCCATCCCCTAAACAGCCAATCCCCCCACCCCATCCTCTCTCAGCCCAGACCCTCTGTGCAGCAGCAGAGTCCAACCTGCATTTCTTCCCAGGCCGCAGTGCCCACATATCCCTGACCTTCTTGGGCCCCATAAGGAGACCTGATGTGACTCAGCTTTGGTTCAGATTTTAGTTTCCTAAGGTTGGGGTTCCCCATGCTCTGAAGCAGCACATTATAGTAGTTAAATGCATAAACTCTGAAGCCAGACTGCCTGGATCTGAATCCTGGTTCTGTCCTTTATGAGCGGTGTCTAAGTTTTCTCCTGTGTAAAATGGGGATAACAATAATAATGACCTCAAGGGGTCACTGAGAGGACTAAATTGGCTAAGACGGATGAAGCAGTAATGCTATGCCTGGCACATACTTAATGGTACTTAGTGCACATTAAGTGTTAGTTATTATTTCCTATTATTGTGACGAGGAATACAGGAGATCGTACGTGTCAAGTGCATGATTTGGGGGGCTGCCTGGCATTTGCTCAGATGACCTGTGTCTTCTCCTGTGCTCTTTTGTAATCACCCTGTTTCTGTTGAACCTGTCCACTCCCAAGTGAGATGAGCATGGACTCTCCGTGTTCGTGGTCATGTTTTCCAGTCCAGAAGTTGCAGCTGGCAGCCCAGGGAAGGTTTTCCATCTCTGGTGGGAATAGCAGTAGCATGGGCTGCTTGTGTTTATGAGAGCTGAGTTACTGTGTGAGAAGCACTCAGAGCAATGCCTGGCACCCTGTAAGTGCTATGTAAGTTTAGCTCTCATAATAAATATTTACTATTATTTTTCTGCCTTGGTTTGCAATTTCATTTATGTGAACATTTAACAATGCTCAAATCTTAACTTACCCAAGCTTGGATGTTATACAGACCCCTTTATGGAAAAGAATAAAAATAATGCCTGCTTGGGTGAACCCATGGGATGGCATTTGGACTCCAGAAAGCATCATTGTTTAATGATCACAATCAAAATCTTAGCTACCATTTACTGAGTATTAGGGAGGAGGCCTGTGGAAGAGGGAGAAGGGTGGATCTCAGGCAACTAGGATTATAAATAGCCTTGGACCTATGGGGAGAGCCCCCACCCCCACTGGTTCACCCCACTCCTGTTTCCACAGCTCTTCCTGCCCGACATGGGCTCGTGTGGCATTAGTCAGACAAATTAAGGACACAGAAGATGTCAGTGGGAAGACGCAGGGAGAAGTGGAGACATTAAGGGAGATGACATGGCAGAAAGAGATATGAGACAGCGACTCAGAGAGGGGCAGGGACAGTGGCTGCAGAAACCAACATGGGGAGACAGAACCAGAGGCAGAAGAGAGACAGAAGGGAAAGGCAGGGAGCAACAGAAGCAGGGATGGGGTGGGGATGCCTGAGGGGGAAGGAGGAAGGAGGGGGGAGCAGAGACAGTGGGAAAAATGAGGCAGGTCCAAAGGAAGGGAGAGAGAAAAATGAGGAAACAGGGAGAAGAGAGGTAAAGATGAGGTCGATTCAAGGGAGAGACAGCCAGGAAGCACTGGCTGGAGAAAGGAGAGCCAGCAAGACAGACAGACATGGGTGAGGGAGGCAGACACACCTTTGGGATGAGTTGGCTGAGGATTATTCCTTGTTTTTCTGCAACTGAAAGCCAGAAAGATATCAGATGCCTGAGGGAAAGGGTCCGGGGACCCTTGGTCCCAGAGGGAGGAGGGTTCAGAGTTTTATTTTCTTATGTAGACAGTTGGGGGTTGGGGGATTTGCCATTGTGATTTCCTGTCACAGGAAGTGGGGCTAGTGGGTTCAGAGGCAACATCCTGCCCCAAGCCTGTCACAGATCAGAGGAGAGCCCCCACACACCCCAGTTCTACTCCTACTACCTCTCCTTTAACCTTCCCCACTCTACTGGCCTGCAGACCCTGCCTCTGAAGGGCCCAGCCCCCCCTTCTCCCTCAGACCCAGGAGTCCAGGCCCCCAACCCCTGCTCCCTAGGATCCCAGAGTCTGAGCCCGAGCCCCCTCCTGCATTAGGGACCCAAAAATTGCAAGCTCTCTCATGGACCCAGGCTCCTGGGACTCCAGCTTCTCCCCCACAAGTCTCCCTGTCCTTGGGCTCCCCGCCCTGGCTGGCCGCTGAAGGGCTCTTTGTCGCCACACAGAGGCCTCATTGAGCTGCGGAGGCCCAGACGGGGGAAGGCTGTTTACTCACCTTCACACCTGGGCCAGGAATCTGTGAGTAACCGCCCTGTGCCACCTCCTCCCATCCCCTAACCACGGCCCCTCCTCTTCCCCCAGCCCTGCAGAGCCCATGGAGGCAGACAGCGTCCTGGCCAGAGGGGCGGTGAGTGGAGAGAGCCAAGGGGTAAGAGGGTTGGGGGGCTCTGAGGTGGGGAGCACGGTGGGCTGAAGCCAACCCTCCTCTTCCACAGGCCCCAGGGCCCCCCCGACCTGGCCTGGTGCCCATCAGCATCATTGGGGCTGAGGATGAGGATTTTGAGAACGAACTGGAGACGGTGAGGAGGAGATGGAGTGAAAAAGCTTCTGTCCTTGGCTCCCTGGGGCTTCAGCCCGTCAAGTCCCAGCTTCAGGTCCCCTCCCACCTCAAGTCCAGTTCTGTCCTTGTATCCTCTCAGTGCCTCTCTCTCTCTCTCTCTCTCTCTCTCTCTCTCCATCAGAAAGTGCCAGGGAATGGGGAGGGTCAAGCCCAAGGCCCTTCTTCTACGCCCCACAGTCTCACCTCCTTCCCTATTCCCCCAGAACTCAGAGGAGCAAAACAGCCAGTTCCAGAGCCTGGAGCAGGTGAAGCGACGCCCAGCCCACCTGATGGCCCTCCTGCAGCACGTGGCCCTGCAGTTCGAGCCAGGACCCCTGGTGAGGGCGGGGCTGGGCCAGGCCAGAGTGGTCAGTGCATTAGGCCGGTGGAGATGAGCCGGGAGGGTCTAACAAACAGATCTGGAAAGCAGATCTAGAACTAGAGAGCCAGAGGGCCCGCCGCAGGATCCAGACAAGATCACAGGTGCCTGTATGAATCAGCTGCATGTGCAGGCCGGGAGAGCCCCCGGCAGGGCCATGCAGAGAGTGACAGAATCCAGAAGCCTGGGAGAAACCGTGCCCCCACCCCCTCCTGTGCCTGTGGCGCTGTCACCCATCAATGCAGACTTTCCCACGGACTCTGGAAATCGAATCTTTCGCTCTGTGGCCTTGGCAGGTGCCACCAGTCTGTCGTTAAGGGCTGGTGCTTGGGAGAATCCATTAGCTTCCTCGGATCTAGGTGGTGCAGCAGGCCCTGATTCAGAAACAAGCAGCCCACAGGCAGAGAGAATGTAATCAGTGAGCCAGAAACGTCCTGTAGCAGACAGAAAACGCCCAGGAGCTACCGATGCAGAGCCGTGCTGTGCAAACCACCGGGAGTCTAGAGGACCCAGTGGGTGATGTTGGAAGGAAGAAGCTCTGTGGACAAGGGTCTCTTTCCAGGAAGCCCCAGTGCAGCCCGCACAGCCGAGCGCGGGGTTAGCCCAGGGCGCTGGGCTGTACTGGAAACACGCAGCAGATCCCTCCAAAAGTCAGGAGACTGGCGGAAATGCCAGGGGGGAAGCCTGGGGGATGCAGAAGGAAGGGCACGGGCACTGGCACCGAAGCCTTGGAAACTGGCAGGAAATTAGGAACTTGCCTTCTCTCCAGAAAAGCAGCAGACCCTCCCTTGGTGCACAGATGTTCTGGCCCTCAGCCTGGGGCTTTCTAGAACTGGAGCGCTGGGACTCAGCCCAGGGATGGTGCTGACCAGCAGGTCCTTCCGCAGGTTGGAACCTGAGGCCTGAGAGGGCCAGGGTTTGGCTGAGGTGACCGCAGTGGCCTCCAGCATTTTGAGATGTGTCCTCAGGCTGCTCCCTCATCCGTCAGCTTGGGGAGCAGCTGAGGGTTAGTTGTGGTCCTGGGCTGCTTCCCGGTGGCCTTTCATGGGGTTTTTGCTTTAGGGTGGGGGTGGGGGGTGACACCTATTTGTTGAAAGTGTTTAGAGAGTCGCACCCCCACTGGGCAGAGTCCTTAGCACACTGAGACCCAGACCATGTCCCTTACCTGATACAAGCACCCCCGGAGTCAGGACAGGTTGGAGTTCCCTCTGCATTGCCAGCATCACCCAACACAGGGCTGGCACAGAGGCAGACCCAGGAAATGCCTCACGAGAGAACATGTGAGCCCTACTTGCTCACCTGTGTATGCACCCAGCCCCCACCGCGCACTGGGCCCCGGCAGACACGATGAATCAGAACCTGCACCCCGCCCCGGCAACACGAACCCTCAAGTTGTTCGTGGTATTTCTAGACAATGGAGTGTGGTGGCTGCCTGGTTGCAATGCCAGCGTTGCCACTTACTAGCTGTGTGAACTTGAGTAAACTTGAGCTCAGTTTTGTCACCTGCGAAATGGGATAGCTGTCCCTGTGAGCGAGCAGGTTTGTGTGTACAAAGGGTTTAGAAGGCGTCTGGAATGTAGCTGGCGGTAGTGGCAGCAGGGAGGAGACAGAGCCACAGGGAACCATTTCACAGGATGAACAATGACCGAATGCTCAAGGTGGCCCTGGGGAGGCCTCGAGACAGGCAGGGCCTGGGCGTGGAGATGGTGGAGATCAGGGAGCACACTTCCTAGAGGATTTGAGCCCCGAGACTTTGCAAGGACAAGTGTGGTTTGGGTGGTGGGGAGGGAGGACAGGTCACACTCTGTCTCCCCAGCTCTGCTGCCTGCACGCGGACATGCTGGGCTCACTGGGCCCCAAAGAGGCCAAGAAGGCCTTCCTCGACTTCTACCACAGCTTCCTGGACAAGACCGCGGTAAGGGACACCTTCCAGGGGCCCCAGCCCTCCTGCCTTTGGCTCTGGAAAGCTACCTGCACCGCACGGAGGGCAGCATGAAGGGCGGCCTGGCCGGGGGAGCCCCCGTACCAGCCTGGCCCTCCCCCCACCGCTCCTCCCCTCACACCACCATTCCCAGGGGCACCCACGCTGCCGTCTCGTCACTGCCGAGTCCTCCCCTTCACTCCATTATCTCTCTCGAGCAGATTCTGCGGGTGCCTGTGCCTCCCACGGTCGCCTTTGAACTGGGTAAGAAGAGGGGACTTTGGGATGCGGGAGGAGTCTCTAGCAGGGGCCAGGAGGGAGCTCGCGGGCCCGCGCTCCTTGGTCAGTGGCGGCTCCTGGCCATAGCAGCCCAAGGAAGCATGACTGTTGGAGTCTGAGGGTGGGTGGGGAGCCAAGGCCCAGGAAACTGGCCCCCAGCCCATGCCCCTCTTCCTGCAGACCGCACACGGCCTGACCTCATCTCCGAGGACATCCAGCGGCAGTTCGTGCAGGAGGTGATGCAGAACCAGCAGGCCGCCGTCAGCCGGCAGCTGGAGGACTTCCGCTCCAAGCGGCTCATGGGCATGACACCCTGGGAGCAGGAGCTGGCCCAGCTGGAGGCCTGGGTGGGGCGGGACCGCGCCAGCTTCGAGGCCCGGGAGCGGCACGTGGCAGAGCGGCTGCTGGCCCACCTGGAGGAGATGCAGTGAGTGGGGCCAGCCCTCCCCGCCACCCCAGCCGTGTCGGGGCTCCCCCTGCAGCTCTGCATCCATTCCTTAGCATCTTCCCTCGACTTCTGGGCCCCACAGCCCTGGCATTTTAGTTCATCCTGTTTTTCATCTCCCCTTCCTAGCTTTGGGGTCTCTTCCAGTTTCAGGTCTGTCCGAGGCCTGTATTCAGGCCTGGCACTTGGGTCCCGTCCTTGTCACTTCTGCTCGCTGCGCCCCGATGAGGTCATCTCTCTTCCGTGACCCTCTTTCCCAGTGCCCTCCCTGCCTCTCCTCTGTCCTGTCCCAGCTTCAGAGGGACAGCAGTGGACATGTGTGCTGCGTGGGCAGGGACCCCAGGCTTAGCAAGTTTATCTTTCTTCTCCTTTCAGACACACCATCTCTGCCGACGAAGAAAAAAGGTAATGGAAGCAGAGAGGACAGCAGACAGGCACTGCAGTGTCCCGGGCCCCAGGGAGGGGCGCCAGGGGTGCGGGTCCTGGCCCCGGGAGCCCTCGCCCCTTTCCTGAGACACCCAGCGGGAAGTGGTTGTGGGGGTGGGGTGGGAAGCGAACTCGGAGGGGAAAGCCTGGGGGAGCAGTGTGCATGTGTGTGTGTGGGGTCCTTACTGTCCCCTCCCCACAGTGCCGCCGTGGTCAGCGCCATCAGCCTGTACATGCGCCATCTTGGGGTGCGGACCAAGAGCGGGGACAAGAAGTCGGGGAGGAATTTCTTCCGGAAAAAGGTGCTTCTCTGAGTGCTTCCTCCCCAGAGACCCCGTTGGGTCCAATCCCTCTGTGTTGGTGGCTCAGAAATACCAGCTCCTTCTGGCCTCCCACTCGCAGGTGATGGGGAACCGGCGGTCAGACGAGCCGACCAAGACCAAGAAAGGACTGAGCAGCTTCCTGGACGCTGCCCGGTGGAACCGGGGAGAGCCACCGGGTGAGACGCCCAGCCTCTCTGCCCTGATGTCCCCAGGCCGCCCACCCCCCCTCACGGTCCCATTGGTCCCATCTCTCGTTTCAGCCCCAGATTTTCGACACCTCAAAGTGGAGGCTGAAGGTAATGGTCCTGAAGCCAGAGCATTCATTTGGGGAACCTAAGAGAGGAGGAGGGGGTCTCTCGGGCCTGAGGGAAGAGGGGGCCGGGGGTGGACTCCTGAGTCTGGAGGAGGAGGGGTCTCCTGGGCGATGGAGAGGACTGGGCTGCAGCACAGCGTCTCGGATCCCCCAGGCCACTGTGGATTCGTTACTGGACTCTCATTTCCCCCTTTTCTTCCTCAATGTCTCCCCAGCTGAGAAGCCTGGCCTCACAGACCGGAAGGGAGGCCTGGGGGTGCCCTCCCGGGACCGTAATGTCGGGGCCCCTGGACAAGACTCCCCCGGAGTGTCACTGCATCCTCTGTCTGGGGACAGCCCTGACCGGGAACCGGGTGAGAGTTTCCCCTTGTTCTCCCCACATGTTCCTCCTTGCTGCTGGTCACCAGTGTCATTCATACAACCGCCCCTTCCCTTAGTTCACCCTTTCCATGGCTCTCCTCCCAGGCTCCGACCTCTGTTTTGGGGATGTTCCCCACCTCCGTGGACTACATTTCCCATCACCCCCACAGCTTCGCTTCCCAGAACCTTCTCTGCGTACATTGCCAGTCAGCCCCGGGAGATGGCCACTTCCTTTCACAGTCCTCGGGTGGCCCTAGCCCCTGGGACCTCAGCTCCTGGGGCAGGCCCAGGTTCAAGTCCCAGCTCCGCGGCTTGCTTCTGCTACACCCCGGCAGCCACCGGGTCTGTCTCTTCCTCTAAGCGGGGGACATCCTCTTCCCGAAAGTCCTGGTTGAGGGTCGGGAGAGCAGGTGGATGTGGAGACATTGAGCAGAGCATCCAGCCTCCCCGCCCATCCTGTGGGCCCCAGCCGTCCACGGCTGCGTGCTCAGAGGTCTTTCTGTCCGTCCGTCTGCCGTGGAAGCACGGAACAGCCGCTTGGTGTCTGCCAGGCACTGGACGGTGCAGCCCCTCACTCCTCATGCCATGGTGGAGGAAACAGACCCCCAGAGTGGCGTCTGTGCCCAAGGGACCTCCCAGCCAGCCCTGCCCTCCCTGCGCTCCCACAGGTGTTGATGCCTCACCGGAGCTGGGGGACCCACCCCTGCAGGGCCCAGCCAGCCTGGAGCCCCCGGCGCCCCTGGAGAGCACCGAGGAGGGTCCTGATACCGAGAGGTACCCAGGCGGGGGGCTGGGGGCGCTGAGCGCAGCAGTCGGGGCTGGAAAGATGGGTGTTGGGGTCTTGCTGCCATTCGCACCTGCTGTCCCCAAGCCACCTCCACTTGGCCTGCTCCTCCCTCTTCCCTCTTCCCCCCTTTTTCCTTCTTATCCCTTCTTCCGCCCCCTTCCTCCCTCTTCTCCCTTCTCCCCCTTTTCCTTTTATTATCTCCTCTTTCATTCCTTTTCCTCCCTTTCTTCTCTTCTTCTTTTTCACAATTATTTCTCCTCTTCTTCCTCCCTCTCTGTCCTTTCATCAGCCTCTGCCCCTCCCCCTCTCCTCCTCTGTCCCTGCCCTTCATCCCTCAGCTCCTCCCGGCCCCTCCCTCCACCCCTTCACTTTTCATCCCTCCCTCTTCTCAAGCCTCAGCCCGCTGCCTTGCTCCTGCCTCCTGGTGCCCCTCCCCTCAGCCCCCAGTCCTCTGTGCTCCCTGCCTGGGGGCCCTGTCCCCCTCACAGTTGGGGGGCAGGTTCTGCCCCCTGCCTGTCCTTGTGCCGCTGCTTTGGGGGACCTTTGGTGGGCAGGGGGAGGTCAGTTGGGTTCCATCTGGGTCCACCTCTGACCCTGTGCCCCTTTCTCCTCAGAAGGTGGAAGAGGTGGGTGCTTGGGCCCTGGGTCTGGGGGAGGGCTAGCCCCTCCCCCATTTCTCCCAGCCCCTCCCCTCCCCCCATGGGCCAACCACTCCCCTTCACCCCTGAGAGGGGTGGGTGGGGACACCACCCTCCCAGCCAAAGAGCTAAGTATTAAAATCCCCCTTCTCCCATCTCCAACTCCTGGCTCTGCCCCCAACCCCCACCTCAGGGAGGGAGGGGTCAGTCCTGTGTTCCACACTGGGTTCCCCTTCCCTCCCCCACCAAATTTCAGTATCCCTCCTGACCACCCCCTACTGCCCAGCACCCCTAGATCCCACTGCTCTTCTGACTCTCTCCTCTCTTCTGTTGCATGTTCGATTTCTGTCCTGGTCTCTCCCTGTCCCTGTCCTGGTCTGTCCCTGTCCTGGTCTCCTGTCCTGGTCTGTCCCTGTCCCTGTCCTGGTCTGTCCCTGTCCTGGTCTCTCCCTGTCCTGGTCTGTCCCTGTCCTGGTCTCTCCCTGTCCCTGTCCCTGTCCTGGTCTGTCCCTGTCCTGGTCTCTCCCTGTCCCTGTCCTGGTCTGTCCCTGTCCCGGTCTGTCCCTGTCCCTGTCCTGGTCTGTCCCTGTCCCTGTCCCGGTCTGTCCCTGTCTTAGTCTCTCCCTGTCCCTGTCCTCTCCCCATCTTTCCCTGTCCTGGTTTCTCCCTGTTTGTCCCTGTCCTGGTCTCTCCCGTCTGTCCCTGCCGTGGTCTGTCCCTGTCCTGGTCTCTCCCCATCTCTTTCTGTCCTGGTCTTTCCTTGTCTCTGTCCTTGTCTTGGCCTCTGCCTGACTCTGTCCTTGGCCTCGGGGTCCAGGCTATCGGGGCGTCTGGGGCGCTCGGAGAGCCTGCGGGTGAGTGACCGCCGCCGGCCTTCCCGGGGCAGCCTCGGGGCTAAGGGCCGGGGTGGGGGCCGCTCCCGAAGCGACGTGGACATGGACCCCAGCTCTGCCACGGCCGTGCTTGGCCCTGCCCGACGAGCCACGTACGTCACTCCAATTCCCCCCCAACCACTGAGTCAGCCAGGAGAGGCAGGGAGGGTGGGGGAGGGGGCCTTGACAAAGTCGTGAGAACTGGGTATTGAATGCTGAGGTCACTGAAGGCCTACAGTGGTCACAGGAGAGGGGTAGGACAGTTTGTTCTCGAAATCTGGGGGCTGGTTTGCAGCATGGGCCATCCTAGGGGCATGGATGCTTAAGCCACAGAAGGGGGTTGGACACTAGGAGTCAAAGTCTCTCTGGGCGCCCTGAGCCAGGGCCTTAACAAGGCCTTTGTCCCACAGCCCCGAGCCTGGAGATGAGGGGGAGCCGGGACGGTCAGGACTAGAGCTGGAACCAGAAGAACCCCCCGGCTGGCGGGAGCTCGTCCCCCCAGGCACCTTGCACAGCCTGCCCAAGAGCCAGGTGAAGCGGCAAGAGGTCATTAGCGGTGAGTGCCACCTTCTCCAGCCCTCCGTGGCCAAGGACACAGTCCAGCTCCACAGAGACAGACAGATGCAGGGAGATGTCCATCCCAGTGTTACTTACAACAGGCAGAGCACGAAGGCAGAGGGGCCATTTGTTACAAAAACTGTAGACCAGCCACTCAGTGGACCAGCAGCGCTGCTGGCAAGGCGGCCTCTCTGAAGACTGTCACGCGAGGCCGTGCTGATGTTATGAGCAGGGGACGTATATGAGATTGTGTTTCTAGCGTGAGCCTTCGTTTCCCCGTTTGTGAAATGTGGGCAGCAATCATTCCTGTCGCAAAGGGCCGCCGTGAGGATGGACGAGTCCCGTGACGCGTGTAGCGCAGTGTTGGCGTGAGGGCAGAGTCACCCGCTGTGGCTGCCACAATCCCGGGGAGATCGATCATCAGTATATTCGTAGTCTGTGTTTCTGGGCAGAGGGGGTGGGAACATCGTTTCTGTATTGATTCTTTTCTGTGATTTCGAAGCGTGTGGGTGTAAAGGGGATTCAGCAAAAGTAGATGCTTTTGGAAGTTTCCTTGAAGAAGGTACTCATTCAGAATTTTTAGAGCAGTAGGTGAATGCTTTTCAGGTCCCAGAATATGATCAAAACCTAAGCAGTGCTCTCAGAACTTTCTGGAATGATGGAAATGTCAATATTTGCGCCATCCAACACGGTAATGAGCAGCCACATAATGGCCATTGAACACTTGAACTGTGGCGAATACAACCGAGAACTGAATTTTGTGTTTCACTTCACTTTAATCAATGTTTGAAGAACTGTATGTGGCTAGGGGCCACCACTTCGGGGGGCATAGCAAGTTCTCTCACCAGAAAAATATGCGTAACACACAAAACCGTGCATTTAGTCTCCGGGCACTTCCGGGGCCCTTGGAGCTCAGGCACGCACCCCGCTGGGCCCTGGACCTGAGGCTGTCAAATCCCCCTGTGTGCAGAGGGAGCCGTCGTCCCGGAAACCAAGGCTGGTTCATTTGCTGGACGGTTAGGCACTGAACACAGCTGCAAGCTTGCTAGTGTGGGGTGACCTAGTCGTCCTGGTTTGCCCAGGACTTTCCCCATTTTGGCACTAAAAGCCCCGTGTCCTGGGAAGCCTGTGGGTGCCGAGCACATTGGTCACCCTGGCTGCCGCTGCTACAAAGGAGAGGCAGGGAGTCGGACAAGTCCTCAGCGGCTCTCTGAGGGGCAGAGGACGTCACCCCAGAGAGAGTCGTCCCCATCCCATCCCTTTCTCCTCGTCCCCCAGCCTGCCTCTGAGACTGCCCCCCGTAGTTGGCCCCCTCCCCAACCATGCTTCTTCCTGGTGGCCCGGTAGAGTTGCTGGTGACGGAAGCCGCCCACGTGCGCATGCTGCGGGTGCTGCACGACCTCTTCTACCAGCCCATGGCCGACGGCGGCTTCTTCCCCCTCGAGGAGCTGCAGAACATCTTCCCCAGCCTGGACGAGCTCATCGAGGTGCACTGTGAGTGCAGGGCCCTGGCCCTACTCTGCACCCCACCACTGGCTCCCTCCTGTGAGGCCTTGGGGCCTAGCAAGTTCTCCTGGAACCCCCATCACGGGCACCCTCTGTTCTGGCACTGGGGACAACCCCACCCTGGAACCCCTGAGCTCACATTCCAGGGGGGCAGCCCACCGATCCCAAGGATCAGACCAACACACCTGTGGCCCCACCCCCAGTGGGCTGTACATACAATCTGGCCGCTCCTCACTGCACCCCCCTATCCTCACGCACCCCCTATCCTCACTGCACCCCCATCCTCACTGCACCCCTATCCTCACACACCCCCCTATCCTCACTGCACCCCTTATCCTCATGCACCCCCTATCCTCACTGCACCCATCCTCACGTACCCCCTATCCTCACTGCACCCCCTATCCTCACGTACCCCCTATCCTCACTGCACCCCTATCCTCATGCACCCCCTATCCTCACACACCCCCATCCTCACGCACCCCCCATCCTCACGCACCCCCCCATCCTCACGCACCCCTATCCTCACTGCACTCCCTATCCTAACGCACCCCCATCCTCACTGCACCCCCATCCTCACGCACCCCCTATCCTCACGCACCCCCATCCTCACTGCACCCCCTATCCTCACGCACCCCCCATCCTCACGCACCCCCCATCCTCACGCACCCCCATCCTCACTGCACCCCCATCCTCACGCACCCCCCATCCTCACGCACCCCCTATCCTCACGCACCCCCCTATCCTCACGCACCCCCATCCTCACTGCACCCCCCATCCTCACGCACCCCCATCCTCACGCACCCCCATCCTCACTGCACCCCCATCCTCACGCACCCCCTATCCTCACGCACCCCGATCCTCACTGCACCCCCCATCCTCACGCACCCCCCATCCTCACGCACCCCTATCCTCACGCACCCCCCTATCCTCACGCACCCCCATCCTCAACTGCACCCCCCATCCTCACGCACCCCCTATCCTCACGCACCCCCTATCCTCACGCACCCCCATCCTCACTGCACCCCCCATCCTCACGCACCCCCTATCCTCACGCACCCCCATCCTCAACTGCACCCCCCATCCTCACGCACCCCCCTATCCTCACGCACCCCCTATCCTCACGCACCCCCATCCTCACTGCACCCCCCATCCTCACGCACCCCCTATCCTCACGCACCCCGCAGCCCTGTTCCTGGATCGCCTGATGAAGCGGAGGCATGAGAGCGGCTACCTCATCGAGGAGATCGGAGATGTGCTGCTGGCCCGGGTGAGGGTGCCCAGCCCAGCCCCCACCCCCTCCCAGCCAGGGACCCGGAAGCCTGGGGTCTGGGCCCAGCCCTGTCCTTTTGTTTGGGCTTTCATGTCCCACCTGAGACACCCCTGGCCTGAATCTCGCTATAGTTTGATGGTGCCGAGGGCTCCTGGTTCCAGAAAATCTCCTCCCGCTTCTGCAGCCGCCAGTCGTTTGCCTTAGAGCAGCTGAAAGCCAAGCAGCGCAAGGAGCCTCGTTTCTGCGCCTTCGTGCAGGTGGGGGGCGCGTCTGGGCCGGCGTGCCAGGGAGGAGGGGCTGGTATCCCTGACTACGGGCTAGCGTGGGCCACCTCATCGCTGCCATTGCCTTAGGAGGCCGAGAGCCGCCCACGGTGCCGCCGCCTGCAGCTGAAGGACATGATCCCTACGGAGATGCAGCGGCTGACCAAGTACCCCCTGCTCCTGCAGAGCATCGGGCAGAACACAGGTACGGCCTGGCCCACTCTGCTGCGCCCCAGCTCTCCCGTCTCCCGCCCTGGCCAGGGACCAGCAATGTCCAGGCTTGGAGCTCACCGGGCTGGTCCCTCCCTCGCCCACAGAAGAGCCCGCGGAACGGGAGAAAGTGGAGCTGGCGGCCGAGTGCTGCCGGGAGATTCTGCACCACGTCAACCAGGCCGTGCGGGACATGGAGGACCTGCTGGTGAGCCTGCCTTGTTCGCCTCAGGGCCACTTCTGCTCTGCAAGGCAGGCCTGGTCCTCAGCTTGACCTGAGGGTTACTGCCTGTCCAGGGGTACCTGGGCCTTTGGCTCCTCCCTCTCAGGATTACTAGAGGTCAGGCCTCACCCTGGGCTCATCTCCCTGCGGGTCACTGGGATGGCCCCAGCCCTTGGCTTGCACTTAGGACACTGTTCCCTGTTCCAGCGGCTGAAGGATTATCAGAGGCGCCTGGACTTGTCCCACCTGCGGCAGAGCAGTGACCCCATGCTGAGCGAGTTCAAGGTGACCCTGCTGCCCAGGGATTCTCAGATAACGCACCCAAGGAGCCAGAGAGGCCCCTCAGCTCGGACCCTCCCCGTCCCACCCAGCACCCATCCTGACCCCTGACTGCGATACCCAACCCCATGGTCATCTCCACCCTCCCTTGCCCTGCGCTGGCCTGCACCGACCATCACCCCTTCCCGCCTCCAGAACCTGGACATCACTAAGAAGAAGCTGGTCCACGAAGGCCCACTGACGTGGCGGGTGACAAAGGACAAGGCTGTGGGTGAGCCCCAGGGCAGCCAGCTGGGGCCTGGGGGGCAGGCGCTCAGGTAGGGGTGCTGAGTACAGCCTCGCCCCTGCAGAGGTGCACGTGCTGCTGCTGGACGACCTGCTGCTGCTGCTCCAGCGCCAGGATGAGCGGCTGCTGCTCAAGTCGCACAGCCGGACACTGACGCCCACGCCCGACGGCAAGACCATGCTGCGGCCCGTGCTGCGGCTCACCTCTGCCATGACCCGCGAGGTGGCCACCGGTGAGGCCCAGCCCCGGTGGCTCACGGCGTGGCTGCCTAGGGAGTGGGTGGGGAACCCCCCGACTCTTTGGGTTAGGGTTAGGGTGACCCCCAAAGAGCCGGGTAACTCGTAGTCTGGCGAAGGGGAGGCTACAGCAGAGGTTGAGAAGTGCAAGGCTTGGCGTGCCCGAGGCCAGGGCTGTGGCAGGGACGCCCGAGAGCTGGGCCTGGCCCAGGCCGGCTTGTGGATTTTATTAAGTGAGACGGGAAACCGCCCCAGGTTTTGCACAGAGCAGCAGCCCGCTCTGCCTGCTATTTTGAACATGCCTGGCTGCCACTTGGGGATTGTAGAGGTGCAGGGGTGGGAGCCGGAGCCCAGTGACAAGGGATTTGCAAACATGTTGCCGAGAAGCTGCCCAGGGCCATGGTGGTGGAGATGGGTTGCCTGGCTGGATGGGGGAGCACGAGAGGGAAGGCTGGGAGGAGGGCACCTGAGGGGTAGGTATTAGGGACACAGGAGGGGGAAGTGAGTCGGGGAGCCCAGGGGCTCCACCATCGTGAGGTCCACCCCGGCTCTGAGCCCGGCCTCTCCCTCACCTCGCAGATCACAAAGCCTTCTATGTTATTTTTACCTGGGACCAGGAAGCCCAGATATACGAGCTGGTGGCACAGACCGTGTCGGAGCGGAAGAAGTAAGTCCCACGAACAGGTGAAGGAGGAGGGCCAGGTCCCTGAGTCCCTGGGGACAGGGGGAGGGTGGGAGGCCCTGGCACAACGTCTAGGGCTCTGACTGCCCAGGGCTGGCCTGTCTCCCCAGCTGGTGTGCCCTGATCACCGAGACCGCCGGATCCCTGAAGGTCCCTGCCCCTGCCTCCCGCCCCAAACCCCGGCCGAGCCCAAGCAGGTGAGGGGCCAGGGAGGGACCTGGAGGGCTGGGGGGCTAGGCCTGGCTCCCTTGTGTGTCCCCAAATCTCAAGCTCTAGCCCTGGTCCACGTGCGTGCCCGTGTGTGTGCGTGCCCGTGTGTGTGCGTGCCCGTGTGTGCCGCTCCACCACGGCCCAGCTGTCTCCTACCCAGGCCTCTGTCTTCCGCTGGCGGGCTTTTCTGTTTCCCTGTCTCCCTGCCTTGACCTGTCTCTGTCTCCAGACCTCCTCACCTCCAGCTCTCTCTCTCCCTGCCCCTATTATCCCCTGGGCCAGGGATGGGGGGTCACTCAATACTTCCTCCCCCAGCACCCGGGAACCCCTGCTCAGCAGCTCTGAGAATGGCAACGGTGGCAGCCGAGAGATGCCAGCAGCTGATGGTGAGTCTGGAGGGGCCTCGAGTGGGGGTGGGGGTGGGGGTGGGGGTGTCCACAGGAAACCAGGCAGAATCTGACCACCCATCCTGCTCCCCACCCAGGCCGGATCGAGAGGACCCTCAGCGCCCTCCTGCCCTTCTGCAGGCCTGGCCCCGAGGGCCAGCTTGCCGCCAGAGCCCTTCAGAAAGGTAGCTCACCCCCCCTGCCCCCCCCCCCCCCCCGCAGGGCCGGCCAGCCCAGACGTGCTTTCCAACTTGCCTCGCCCCCTGCGGCTCCCGTCCCTTGACCTTCAGCTCAGTCTCTTTGCACCCCTCTCCACCCTTGATGCCCCCGCCCTGCCCCTGCCTCAGCCTCACCTCCGCACTCCATTTTCATCCCCAGCCCCACCTGCAGGCCTGGCGAACCCCTAGCTCAGCCTGGCCTGGTGCCTACCCTCACTCCACCCCCGTGCCCCGGCCTCTCCCACCCTCTGCCCCTTGCCTGTCCCCGTCTGAATCCCCGTCTCACCCAGGCCCCACTCTGACTCTGCCCCCTTTCCCTGCAGTGCTGTCCCTGAAGCAGCTCCTGCTCCCCTCAGAGGAAGACAGTGGGGCCGGACCTCCCCGTGAAGGGGATGGAGTCCCGGGGGGCGGCCCCCGGAGCCCCACACAGACCCAGGAAATCCGAGAGGAGCTACTCAGCCTGGAGGAGACCATTAAACAGCTGGAGGTGGTGGCAGGCGGGAGGGCGGGCGGGCAGGAAGGGGGCAAGGAAGGGAAGGGGCTGACTCAGTGAGGACCCCTCTCATGGATGACCCCCCAACCAGGAGGTGGAGGAGGAGTTTTGTCGCCTGCGACTCATCTTGTCTCAGCTCGGGGAGAACACTGTCCCCCAGTCTGGCTGTACCTGAGGCCCCCTGCCCCAGGCAGGTGAGCGGGGAGATGGGGCCTGAGCACTGCCCAGGGAGGGGCTCCCCCTCCACACCCATTTCTCTCCCCTCTGCCTTGTCTTTCTGAATCTCCCCAGTCCACCTCCCGTCTCCATCTCTCCACGTCAGTTTCTGTTTCTTTGGCCATTTTTTGCTTTCTCCCAACCCTCCCTCTCTCTCCCTTTTTTCCCTGTTTCTCTCTCTCCACCCCCCCATCTCTCTCATCTCCCTTCTTCTCCTGCATCCCCCCAGGCCTTCTGCAAGATGGAGAGGAGGTGAGGACCACCCACCACCACTGCACAGCTGCCGCAGCATCTGCAACCCCGAGGCCCCAAGGAGAGGGAGCCGGGCTTTCGGGGCCACGTCTGAGAGTGTCCAGCTGGGATCACTGCCTCCCCCCAACCTCCCGTCGGCCTTGGCCTTCTGCTTGGGGGACTCAGGGCATCATTCCTGGGGGCACCACAGTGATCACCATTTCCCAGGCCATCTCAGTATTGCCGGGGGGGCCACCCTCCATCCCCCACCCCTAAGTGCCTTTGCTCTGTTTTATATCCTGAATTGGAAGTTTATTTTTTAATATATAGTATCTAAGGAGAGGTCTGTGTTGTGAGGGTGGGGCCCTGCAGGGTGTCTGGACCGTCCGTCTGACATCCCCTTCCTGGGTCTGTCCCACACATCACCTCTGCCTCTGCCTTCCTCCTTGTGACCATTTACCCCCATTTTAACAGCTCCACCCCAGGCCCCCCACAGCCCCTCCCAGCACCCGCCCCCGCTCCATGGTCACCCACAGTGCTGGGCACCCCACATCCACACTCCTTTCTGTTCTTTTATTTTTGTAGTAAACTCTGGAGGTGGCGTTGAGGGTCATGGGGAGCTGGTGGGGAGGGGAGCCCCCCTGGGCAGGGGCTAGGGGCGGGATTATTGCTCTGAGCGCCCTGTCCCCAGGGGGCCTGTGTAGAGAGGGTGTCAGGACTGGGGCCGGCACAGGGGACACACGGCCGCACAAACACAGGTCACAGCACGGGGGCGGGCGGGGGAGGCTGGGCGCCGTATTGCACTTTGGGAGAGGGGCCGGGCAGGGACCCCCTCAAACTGGAGCCTGGGGAGGAGGGTGGAGGCCATCATGTTCCCTCGCCCCTCTGGAGGGGAGAACCCCAGTCGGGTTGGGGAAGAAGACGGGGGCAGCCATGTGTCCGGCCCTGGAAGGGGCTGAGGGCTGGTCCCTGGCCTCTGGCAGGACGTCAAGGGCAGACTGGACAACGGAGCAGGCTGCACAGGCAGTGGCCCTGGTCCCTGCCCCAGCAAAATCCGTCGCCCCACACCGGCTCAGCTGCCAACCCCCCCTTTGCCCGCCTTGGCCTTGGGGAGCACCGGGAGGCCCTCGTCGCCCTCACTGTCAGAGCTGCAGCCGCTGACATCTGTGATCTCCAGCTCCGAGTCGCTGTCCTCTTTCCCTCCCAGGGTGGCCTCAGGACCCCCCGCCCCCGGCAGTGCCAGGCGGGGAGCTGCTGCCAGGCCCGAGGGGCGCTCGGGGCCCAGGCCCTCCCCTGTGGCAGCCAGTAGGGGTGCAGTTGTGGGGCCTCCCCCTGCCCCTGCTGAGGGCAGGTGGCCCAGGGAGCTGGCCAGAGGGTTGGGGTAGAAGTGTGGGGGGTAGAGGGTAGGGGGCAGCTTGGGGAAGGGGCTGGCGAGGTACGGGTTAAAGTTCCAGGGGTATTCTGGGAAGGCTCGGCTGTAAGGACCCAGCAGACCAGGGGGCTTGGAATAGCTGGTGGCACCTGGGGGCACAGGGGTGCGTCAGGCTGGGGCCCCGTTCCAGTCACGGCTGCCTGCCTGGGCCTCAGCGAAGGGTGTTCCACCTGCATGGTGCTCCCCGCTGTCCCTCCCGCACCTGTCTCCCCACCCCCATCCCCATCTCTCCTTTGAGTGCCCCTGAAAGCCCTCTTCCCCACTCTTCCAGCTTCCCAGTTTTCCTCTTCCTCTAGCTTTCAAATGCGTGCACACATACCCACGCACACGCACACACACACATACACACACAAACACCCCCAGCCTTGCCCTGGCCTCCTGCATCGTCTCCCTCCTCTGCCCATCTTCCCTCAAACACGTGCAGCATCCCCCCCACCGGCACCCACGGAACCTCGGGCCCTTACCCGAGCCCAGGAAGGGGAAAGGGCTGTCCAGACGCAGTTTATCCGTCTCAGGAGGGAACAGGGGTGCCCGGGTCCCCGGCTCTCCCAGGCGTGGGGCAGAGAACAGGGTCTGCAGGGTCTGGAGAGGGAGACAGTGCTGCTCAGACAGCCACCCCTCCCCGGGCTCCATGGCTGGGGGACACCAAATGCCCCAGCTCTGGGACCCCAGCATCCTAACTCACCTCAGGGGTGAGGGGAGGGACGTCTGGCCCAGGGCCCCCCGCAAAGGGACCAGGGGTCAGCAAGAGTGGGGAGCCCGTGGTGGCTGCCGCCACGTCCAACAGTGGGTAATTGACAAGCACGACTTTGCTGAAGTTGAATTTGTAGGTGAACCTCTTCCCTTTGGTCTTGTGGAGGATCCGCTTGTTGTAGTAGTAGCTGTGGGGAGAGGGACAGCGGAGCTGAAGGGAGAGGCCGGGCCGAGCTGTGCGCCAGCCACAGAGCACACCTGGGGAAATAAGGCTCACAGAGGCCCCTTGACCAAGGTCCCAAAGCAAGGAAGGGCTGAGGCAGGGGCTTGGGTCCCGCCTGTGTGGCTCCAAAGCCCAGAGTAGGGTCCTTCCTCCTTGCCTGCCTTCCACTCGAGGAAGTGCTGACACCTGTGGAGAGCCCTGCGCGTGATCAGGAAGCCCAGGGAAAGCGCCCCGGGGTGGGGGCCCCGAGGGACAGTCAGGGGAGAAGGGGCAAGGCCCCAGCCCTCACCGCAGGGCCCGGCTCAGCTTGTCATAGTTCATGTGGGGCTTGCACTTGCGGATGCCCCAGAGCCGGGCCACCTCGTCAGGGTCCTTGATGACGAACTCCCCGTAGTCCCCCTGCCAGGCGATGACACCCTGGTACTCCTCCTTCCGCAGCAGCTCCAAGATGAAGTGCCACAGCTGGATCTGCCTGGAGCCAGGGGACGACTCCGGCTTGTAGGCCCAGTCCGGGAAGGCGAACCCTGGGGACAGGAGGCAGGGGAGTGGCCCTGCTGGAACCCGGGAGACACCCAGCCCTCCCCTGACGAGCAGCTGCCCAGCCACAGGCATCTTTAGGGACCTGTTTCCCACTCTCCATACCCCAGTTGCTGCCTGGTCCCCAAACTGCCCAGTAAAGGGAGAGAACTCAGCGTTGGGTCCCTATCTTGGCACAACTCTCCAGGTTCCGTGTTCTGGGGGGAAGGTGGGAGGCCCCAGTTTACTGCACCCTTGAGGGTGGGGAGGAGCTGGGACGAGCCAGCCTGCAGGGAAGGGGACCCCTCGCACTATTAGCCCCTTCTCCACGGCGCCCCACCCTCCCGCCCCGAGGTCTCTGGTCTCCTGCGTTCAGGGCCCTGATTCCTGCTGCGTCCCTGCCTCCCTGTGCCACCCCCCTGCTCCATTCTCCCCAGAGCTCCCCCCGTGGACTGACCCCACCCTGGCACACCCAGGCTGGGCCTCTGTGCACACGTCTCAGCATCTGTCATGTATTCATGCCTTTCACGCTCCTGGGTCCCTCCCCGCATCCGTGCTGCCGGTCTGAGAGCAGTGTGTCTGCAGATATCCACGGTCACACGTCACACAGACACGCTCTCCCGGGGAGGGACACCAGCTACGCCAGGACACGCTCCTGCCGGGGCACAACACACCAACACACTGTGCCCCGAGGCAGACACGCCCACCCCAACCCACAGGGACACAGCTCAGGCCCTTGGAACCGGGACCCACTACCACAGTCATGTCCGGAAACACACAGGACCTCAGAGACCCAAACAGGACAGAATGTGGGGGAGACGGCGAGGCAGCATCGCGACGCATGTGTCAACCTGACAGGCACACACAGGGTGACGCCATGACAACAGCCTCCACCCAGGTGCCCACACTCCGTAACACCCACGGCTCGTCCAGCACCCCACATTCCACACTCCGATGGCATCGCACCCCGTTGTCCAGACCCTGGGGGGAATGGAATCTGCCTGCTCACCCCGGAATCTCACCACCCAGAAAGCCCCAGGCCCTGGGCCCCACCTCTGCCCCTGGGCCACATCCCCTGCCCTTCCCTTCCTCAGAGACCCCAGACCCTGGCACTAAAACAAGACAGGATTGAGAGCTGACAGCCGTGCAGGAAAGGGAAGGAGGTTCGCCAGGGGGGTGACGAGCTGGGAGGCCAGCCTGTGTCCACTGCTGTGTGATCCGGGCGGTTCCTCGCCCTCTCTGGCTTATCAGGACTTCAGGCGAGGGAGGCAAAGAGGAGCAAGGTCCGGCCAGGCTGCCTGGCGTATAAACACGGGTCCCACCCCCACCGCCTGAGGCCAGGGAAGGCCAGACGGTTTCCTCCCTGAAGGGAGTTTTCTCTCAACTCCATTTCGGTCTTTCTCACCTCAGACCACAGGGCTCGGTCAACACCCGAGCTCTGGCCCATTCCACACCCAGAACACATCCTCGTGGGGAAGCGTCTCTCACAGACACACCCATAAGACCCCAACGATGACAACGCAGCTGCCACACACACGCAGATACACCCCCCCAACCCAGAAACACTACCTGTCCCCAGATGCACGTCCTCAAATGTGTGGCCCCTGCTGAGGCACACACAGCACACAACACAACACGCCGGAGACAGGACCCACACCTCGGCACAAAGACGTGTGACAGCCGCCAACACTCAGTCACGGTGACACACAGACGCAAGAAACCCCTCACACACGCACCAACACGGACACAGCCCCGACACAGTCCCAGGGGGCCACCCACCCTCACAGCACCCAGACACCCTTTAAGAATGCCACACACCATGCGACAGACCCATAAGACCAGGCGAAGGGTCTTCAACCGACTGAGACAGGGGCACGCTCAACCAGCTGGCAGACACCCCCAATCCTAAAATGTAGACACACTAGACATCCCAAAGAAACATGACACGCCCAGCCCAGAGCCACCCAGGTGGTCTCAGCTATATATATGCACAAGACACGCGCTCCCAGAGGGACCCCTTCTTCCAGAAACACTCCAGTGTGACAGTGACACACACCACGGCCCCAAATAGCCAGGCACAGGTCTGTCTGCACAAATACACAGATGCGCACGCGCACACACACACACACACACACACACACTGCCCACCCGCGGGGCGTGTGACTTGGACGCACACCCACGCTGGTCTTACTGTCCACATCCCCATTCCTGAGCATCCACTGCTCTCCCAGGGCTCCGGCTGGCTGGGCCGTGTCTCCGAGTCCCCCTGTCTGGGTAGTCCCGTCTGTCCATTTGTCTACCAGCACCTGGCCTAGTGCCCCCTGGGTCCCTGCCCCTGTTCCATCAGTGCCCGTGGGGCTCCAGTCCCCCTGCTCCTCTGCCCGCAGGTCCTGGGTGACAGCAGCTGCCACGTGCACAGCAGATCCCCAGGACCTCAGGCCCCTGAATCCTCCTTCCTCTCGGACTCA